GTCTCATTCCACACGTGGTCCTTCCTGGTATGCCCACACATCCAACGCAACATCATGCGCATCTCCGCCACACTTATCTTTTGAATGTGACATTGTTTCACCGCCCAACACTGTACGCCATACAGTAATGCAGGCCTAATTGATGTCCTATAAAACTTATCCTTCAGTCTAGTCGGCAAAATATAAAAGTGGACTAAAGAGGTAAAATAACAATTACTTGGATCGGCCTGGTCTACAATATATATAAGGTATATTATGCAAGACAAGTATTCCTAACAAGATTTTTTGCCGCCCGGAACGCCGTCTGGCCACGTCTATTTGAGATGCTTCCGAGTAGAATTTTTCGATGATGTTTTGTGAGCGTGTTCCACATGAAGTGTAATTATATCCACCAAATTTCAGTTTAAAATGAAATCTAGAAGGGAGTTAAATAAAATATTAAAAAATTAGAAAAACTTTAGTTGTTCCACATAATTTGGTCCACATTAGAAACAACAATGTTTGATGTACCCACTCTTATACCCACCTTATACTCACCATTTCTGTGAAGTGTTGTTTTTGTTTGTGAACCCGATTCACAGACAATATTTTGTTTGTGCAAAATATTGTCTGTGAATCGGGGTTCACAAAAAAAACCACTTCACAAACATATGTGGGTACAAAAGTGGGTATAAGAGTGGGTACAAGCATCATTTTTGCATTAGAAATGACAACATATTTGGGAATCACGTTGATAGAGTAATCGGGAAGCTATCACACGTGATTTAAGTCCGGCTTTATACCCTCATTAAACTCCTCTGTAAGTGATCTGAGAGCGTGAGAGACTCAAGATTGCCGACCGTCAGAGGTGGACTGGAGGGCAGTAGGCGAGTGGCTGGAGTGGGAGTTTTGGGCTATAGCCAACGTTGCAGGCATGATCAGTAGTTCAGCTAGGCAAGTAGACGGGCTAACGCAGGCAACGAGTGTCATGGCGCGACGCAGACATCATGGGACAGCAAGCGATGGGCGACAGGCAAGTGGCAGACTGGCGGCCTATGCGTCTCTGCAGCTTGCTTACTTCACGAAGAAGAAAACAGAGAAGGGCTACTGGTATCAGCATACGGTTAGAACTATACACCACCTTCTGTCACTTGATCTCAATAAAGAGAAGACCAAAATGAAATAGTACTCTGTAAGATTTAATTGAAGATTTTGGAAGAAAGCAAAAATAAGAAGTTTGGTTCCTGCCTAGGAACAGGAACCGATGAAAAACTATAGAAACCGAACTGAAAAAAGCTGAAGTCCAAAATTATAGGAACCAAACCGAACCGGAAAATTTGGTTCGGTTTGGTTCGGATCGTCTTTCCCGGTTTTATGGTTCCAAGTCCTGAGCCTAGACCGAGCTAATACAAGTTGGCGTATTCTTTATATTTTTTATCTGAGTTAGTTACAAAATGGTATACAAAACTTTCATTTTGACGGATATCAATTGACATGGGAGCGAGATCGAAGGACAGAGAGGTGGATTGAGGAGAAACTTGACAATATTCTTGTCAATGAAAGGTAGCAAAAGCATGTTCACTCGAAGGAGGGTCCAGTGACCATCTCATTATGTTTATCCAATTGCGCCGAAAGAAGGGAATGAGAGGGGCTCGACCTTTCAAATTCGAAAGTGTATGACTTCGAGAGGAGGAATGTAAAGAAGTTGTGGTCCATACTTATGGAGTGATAAAGTCCCACACCGGTAAATCAAGAAGCATTAGAATGCTATATTAAGGTTCGGGCTACTCCTCCTAACAGGTTGACCTTTTAGGAAGGAACCCCAGATCTTAACATGGTATCAAAGCCAGGTCGATCCATAACCATGGTGTGGGCCCCTATGAAAAATGACGACACGATTATAAAAAAAATGAATTTGACGAATGACGAAAAATTTAATGAAGGCACGATCCAGACGAAGTGTCTGGTCGTGAGGAGGGGTGATAAAGTCCCACACCGGTAAATCAAGAAGCATTAGAATACTATATAAAGGTCCAGGCTACTCCTTCTAACAGGTTGACCTTTTAGGATGGAACCCCAGATAACAGGGAGCAGCGGGGAATTGTTGGATTATTAGGAAGTTGAATGTTTGTGGATGAGCTTTACAACAATGGGGATGGGGTTTAAGAAGAGGTTGCCAGTTTCGCATTGATGACGGTAGGAAGAGGCTGAATTGGCTGTGCAGGCGGCCAGATAATAGAAGCTGCTTGGAATTTCAAAGGGTTAAAGAAAACTACTTAACTCTTTTAGAACAACAAAATACTTTTGGGAAGCAACGAGCTATAGAGTTTTTGCCAACAGAAGGAAACAGAAAAATATATATTACCATCGGGAAACTAAAAAATAGAAACAGAAAATTGGAGATAGAAAAACTGAAAAATAAAAAAAAAAAGAAAATTGGAGAACAAAAAACAGAAGTAAAAAACCAGAAAATATCTCCATTAGTAAACAGGCCCTCATTTTTTAAAAATATCTATATTTAATTGGATTTTTTAATTTTAATTATACACCGTGTAATATCGATATCATATGTAAAATTGATTATTATTTTTAGGGAAAAGGGTCAAGTAGGGCCTCGAACTTACATAAAAATGTCAAATAAGGTCTTATATAGGAGGTTCTGTCCGACCGTCGCTATTTGGGATGGTTCCCGGTGGACTTTTTTGATGAAATTTTTTGTGCATCTTATTCATTAAGTCTAGTTTACTCATACCAAATTTCAGCTAAAAATTCAATCGGGAAGACATTCAAATGAACTCTTGAAGATAACTGCCATTGAAGATCTTCAAGAATTGAGAAGATTTTCAAGAATTTATTTGAATCCCTTCTCAATTGAAGTTTTAGCTGAAATTCGGAATGAGTAAGCTAGACTTAATGAATAGATGTTCAAAAATATTTATAAAAAATTTTCACCATGAATCGCCCCAAATGGCAATGACCGAACAGAACGTCCTATATAAAACCTTATTTGACATTTTTATGTAAGTTGGAGATCCCATTTGACAATTTTCCCTTATTTTTAAATAGGACTCGATATGAAAAAAGTTTAACAATGGGGGAAATATAGAACATCACTGAAGTGAATAAAATTGCTCCCTTTCCATCACACATTCACACCCGTGAAAGAAAACGCTGTGGAAGGATTTCGCACTTGTAAATCATGATTCAGCTTCTCTTCCCTCTGATATTCGCCGAGATGGCGCTCATCCTGATCTTCGTGTTTAAAACTCCTCTTCGCAAGCTTGTAATATTGGGGCTTGACCGCCTCAAACGCGGCCGCGGACCTATCATCGTTAAGACCGTCGCCGGAACCGTTTTAGTGGTCATGATTTCCAGTATCTACAATGTAATATCGATTCGCAACCGGTGGATCGAAGACGACGGCGGAGACATAACCCCCACCGATCAGATTCTCCTGGCTCAACACCTTCTCGAAGCATCTCTCATGGGTAAATATTGTCTCTATTTTGCCTCCTGTTATGCCTATCCCCCTCCCTGCCCGTGGTGTAAGTTCAGCTGTAATGAGTAAGATTTTAGTAAAGTGAACAATGGCTTCAATGTAATTTACAAATTGCTGTGGATTAATAAAACGCTGATTAGGAATTACAGTCCTAAGCTATTATAATAAGTTCACAAAATTAATAAATGCTTGTGCTAAGCTTTGAATTACTCCGGCCTGTGACTCCAGTCTTTGCATAGCTTCAACTAAGTGCTCGTTTGGTAATACTGAGATTAGGGATGAATTTTCTGAAATTTAAGAAGCTAAAATCTTCTATTGTAACTTCAACCAATTCTTTGAGAAAAGTGACTCTAACTTACTTATATTGATTGTTACACAATTTAGTATGTGGAAATAAAAGTTGTTCGAGGTTTGAATGTAGTACTTGTTTGGTTAAAAAGTTGACCTATAAGTCTCATAAGACGAAAACGAAGAGTCACCAAACGGACTCTTAACCAAGGGCTAATGATTAAGATGGACTTAGGGAAAACTGTCAAATAGGTCCTCGAACTTTCATAAAAAAGTCAATTAAGTTCTTCTATAGGAGACTCTGTCTGGTCGTCGCGATTTGGGGCTGTTCCTGGTGGATTTTTTTGATGAAAATTTTTGAGCATCTTATTCATCAAGTCTAGTTTACTCATACCAAATTTCAGCTAAAAATTTAATCGGGAGCGCATTCAAATTAATTCGAGAATGCAAAAATGTGCAGTTATCTTCAAGAATTAATTTGAATGTTTTTCCGATGGAATATTTAGCTGAAATTTGGTATGAGTAAACTAGACTTGGTGAATAAGATGCTCAAAAAATTTCATCAAAAAGTTCCACCGGGAATCGCCCCAAATCGCGACGACCGGACAGAGTCTCCTATAAAAGGACTTAATTGACTTTTTTATGAAAGTTCGAGGACCTATTTGACAGTTTTCCCTAGAACTTATTGGGGATTTGAGGAAAGTATTTCACACTTTATTTATCTAAAAAGAAGTTTGAAATGTTAGTTTTAGGTGTAATACTTTAATTCCTATATTTATAAAAAAATTACTATTGCTGTGTGAAGTTTGTTCATACTTATTAGTTCAACTTTCAAAAGTCAATTAGTTACCCTCGAGTTGGGGTCATTTTCACTCTTTACCCCTCATGTTAATACTTATCTCATTTAAATTCATAGAACTATCAATAATTCTAAAATATTTACTCCTAAAAGTCTAAATAATTCATCATCACTACTATAAGTCATAGTTTCTATATATTGAGAGTAGCTGAGAAAAATGAATTACAGAGTACACTCATCATCACAATTCATAATCGCTCCTAAAAATGTTCCATCAATTCATCATGTATATTCATATGACTAGCTTGGGCGCGCGCGTTGCGCGACGGAAGGTGCCCAAAGATGAAAAAACGAGAAATTTGCATTAATGCATACTAACATAACAAAAAAAGGGGTTCAATGTGTAACCATACAAGTAACAGTCAATGAGCATCACAACCATCACTGTTCTAATTCAAAGTCTAGTTTGAGCGGCATGACAAAAAATGGGACCCACAGAACATTCATTCACATCCACCTACAACCATTTAACCAAAAGAGCAACAGTTTGATCAACAATCACGAGGAAGGGCCAGAGTCGTTGCAGAATACAGGGCTGGAGATGTCATATTTTTTTGCGCGGCTAGGGGGTTCTTCAATCCCACATGTTGAAATGGCGATTAGCATTGCCATCCCACGGCCATACTTAACAAAGGCTAGGGCGCACCGGCGTTTGAGCCCAAAGGTCACCTGAATATCGCGCAACATCCGTTCTCTCGCAATTCCAAAACATGCATCCTCCTTGCCAAAGTGCACTTGCAGAGTGCCCCTCATGTTCGTACATGACCTTAAAAACGCTTCACAGCATTTCTGCATTGAATATGAAGAACACAGTTTAAGGATTTTCAAGGAGAACAATGAATGTGGTGCGTTACTTTGCAAGCAAGTATGGGTGTACATGATTTAAGCAAGAAAGGCAAAGAAAGTGTAATGGTTATTTTCCATTTTTCAAATAACCTATGTATTGATTGATAAAGCTGTTGTTAGCTCCGTTTTGCTCTTAGTTAGGCTAAGTAATTAAAAAAACTTAACTATACAAGAGTGAAAAACAACACTATAAAGCCACCAAGTAATGGAAAAGTACATGTACCTTAGATGTCTGGCCACGTACATACAGAAAAGATGCAGGTAGGTACAGTTGCCTGTATGTGCAATCCGGAACACAGGACTCCACGTAGACCATGAAATCATCTGCAATTATTATGTTCATCATACATAAATAACTCACATATGCAGTGCATTCCAACCAGGCAAACCTTAGATATGTTCAGTGAGTGGAAGCCTATCAATAAATACTATGTGCATTAGTTTGTATACAAAAGGAAAAGAACAATGTGGTGAATGCACCTGGCTTATCTGACGTGATGGAAGACCCACTTGGTGGTCCAGCAAGGTTCAAAGAGAACCCTAGGTCATCAAACATCAGCACTTGAAATGTGAAGTTGCCAATGTGTCGGAGGAGCATGTATGTGCCGCATTCAACATTATTTTCTATTAGAAACTCAGGAAAGCCATCTGTGAAAGAGAAGTCTTCAACCTTGACTGTCCAGGTTGCAGCACCATAAATCAGACGAGCGTAGAGCTTGGCATGCTCAAACAGATGTCGATGCATGCATACAGGGATTTTCTGACAATAGAAATGCAAAGTAGATAGTCATTGTGTTAAAGTAAAGGGAAATAGTTAAAATAAGTAACAGGAAAAGGAATAAAGAAAGCATACAGCAAATTCAAGATCAGTGGCTTTGAAGAGAAACCAAACAATCGTGAATTGCATTACATCCGGGAAATGAACCGAAATAGTCTTTGGACACGCTATAAAGGTCAAACAACAGCAATTAAATACAAGACAAAATGAACACAGATGGCATGAGGAGTTTTGTTTCAATAAAGACTGGGAAATAGGGCACAACAAATCATCTCAAAGAAACAACCTGTGATCAAGGGCATGGAGGTACCCCTGCGTATAAAATGGCCGAGTTTGTGCTCAACTTCAGCTTTGGTTCGGAAACGTTTTGGCATACGCTTGAAGTAGCCAGTAGCCATCAAAAAGTGCTTCCAATCTGCACCCGTAGTACATTCATATTCCCCTTCACTGGTGCGGGTAAGCACGGCAGCAACAATCCTACGCCCATGGACTGTGTTGACATAGTATGTGAGGGTTTCCTTCCCACATGCATCTTTAGCAGATTGGACGACACAATTGCTTAGCAAATCCATAAAGCTGTACACAATAAACAAATACAAGTCCAAATAATCAATGAAAAACAAAAAAAAACATAGCACAACAAAAGAGCTGCAAAATAAATGATGCGAAGGCCACAGACTTATTCACTACAAGTGGTTCACGAAAGCAGAGGAAGACAAAGGACACAACTAAAAAAGTATACAAACCGTTAACTACACTAAAACACAAAAAATAAACACCTCAAGATGATGCATGGCTGATGATCGAGTGCCCCTGCATTAACAATCAGGGAGGTTGTGAGAGTTTTGTGGAGAAGTTACCTGGGAGGCAGGACGGAAGAAGGAGAGGAGTCGAGTTCTTTGGCCTCTAGCGCGGTACTCGGCGGATAGCAGAGAGGAAGACAGAGGGACGACAGATGGTACGGAGTTGAAATGAAAGCGGACGGCAGTGTTTTTATATTTATATCAATTTTTACAATTGGGTGTGTTCGAGACATATTTGTTCAAATTACCACTTTTAAATTTGTTTTGTACACATAAGGAGAGTGGTTATTCTAAAAGTTCAACGTAAAATAAATAACACCGCCCCTGTTCTGTAAAATTGTGGTGTTCATGTTTTTTTTAAATAATCCAAGCAAGACTATACATTTTCACTAACCATTAAAAATAATCCCATGTACATGAACATGGTACTAAAAATAATTTTATCAAGTTAGGCGTATTTTAATTACATTTGAAGGTTTAGGGGAAGCCAACAAGTTAGACGTATTTTAATAAACCCGGCTAATGAATTTAAGAAAAAAACAGGTTTTTTTTTAAAAACAATGTTTACAGTAACTGCAGTCTGCAGGCGCAAAGCAAGGGAAATAACCATAACATTGATGTTTCCATAGAGTATATGTTTAGTCCGTGGCGGAACCAGGACAAAATTTGAGGGGGGTGTTTAAAAAATCGAACCAGTATACGATTCACAGACAAGCGCACACATATATATACATATCAAATTAAATATAGACATTATTCATTATTGTACTGTTTTTTGTTAGTGCGTAAACAAAATAACAGTCTTCATTCATCAAACGAGTTTATTTCGATTTCATACGCTTGTCCTTTATCTGTTTTTTAAAAGGATATTTGTTTTGTTTTTGCAAATGACTTACATAAATCTAATTGTACTCTATAAAGTTAGATATATCAAATAACAACCAGATATTTTGGCATCTTTGTACTAAACCAAGGATATAGGTAAACTCTTCATAAAATGATATAGGTCAATGTTTGAAGAGAGAAAATATTCAAAGGATATTTTTTAGTACTCCGTAGTATTGTACAAAACAGGAAATGCAAATAACATGTTAATTTTGAAAAAAGTAAACTGAAACAATAAAAGTGTAGCACAAAAGTAAGAGAAATCTAGTGTGGTAGTTCAAAAAAAGTAAAACTAATAATATCCCAAATCCAGAGTGGCCCTGTAGGAAGTATCATATGTAGATCCTACGTATTAATTAAAAAAAGGCCCCAGCGTGAACCGAACCCGGCCATAGTCCAAATATGTAAGGCCTTCGACCATCAGTGTTGTTCTAACTGTTAGGTGAATTACGGGTCAGATAATATTTATAATAGATGTAGAGACGGGACTGGACATATACACACGCATATATATACACTACAATCTCCACCGAACGGGTGGCGGCAGCACCGGCTCGACCCCCTCTAGTTCCGCCACTGTTCTTAGTTAATCACGAACATACAGCATAACGACAAACAAATCCCTTATACCTTTTTGGTTTCAGCAAATGCTCTTTCCGCAAAATAAGGAAAGCAGACAACATGACATTACTTTCATGGTGGCATATATACAGTGTGAGTAAGGCACATTTAAACCGAACATGGTAACTAGTTGATATGTACACAACAACGGTTAATGACCCTAGATGAGCAAAAAACAAAAAGGTTGCTGGACATGTTCAGTAATGAGCTAAATCAGCATAATCCATCTAATCTGCTAATTAGCCTAGGAGGTTGTCCAAAAAGTGGTGTTCATAATTTACAGACAAACCAAGATGTTCCATTGGTTGCAAAAGATCTGCCAAAAAGTGGTTCGGTGTGGCCCTTAACCGGTCGCAGGTTTGCGCTTCCTCTGGCGAACGTTCGAAAGGGGCTCCTTTTCAGTAGTTTCGGTGGGTAAGGTGTCTTTAGCAGCAGCAGTGGGAGCAGCATAGTGAACATCTTCGGCTGATTTAAAGTCCAGCTTTCTTTTGCGAGCAGAAGCAGCATCCAACGCAACTTCAGGTGCAGCAGCTGATGAAGTGGCAGTTCTTGCTGCAGCAGGCGCTGGGGGCGCTTTTCCATTGGAGACAAGCACAATGCTGTAAGGGTTTTTTTGGAGACCACCTTCGCTGCTCTTTGAGCGTCTCACACCTGCAATTATCGGTGCTGATTGGAGCTTTGCATCCAAAGCTTCCAGATCCAGCTCGACGTCGGGATCCATTGAAACAATTTCCATCAAGTGTAAAATGTCACTTGTGAAGAGAGTAACAGGAATGCAGCCGCTAGAATCAGACAAGGTCGCACTGCAAACATAACTGCATAAACATTCACCCAGTTAGCATTTAATTTATTAATCAATATGTTGTTGAGGCGTGAGCTTCATACCGTTTAACACTGGTGCCTTGTTTCTGGCCACAGAACAAGCACTCGAATGTCACGCCATCAATGCCATGCACCCTTCGATTACAATAATCACAACCCACATACGAACCATCCCCTGAAGTGTTAGTAAAGTTGAGCTTCCCATACACCCACACAATCGGGATCTGTTGGTAAAACATACATTAAAGCCCACACATGAAAGTGTAATAGAATGACCATTTAATGCAGAACACAGGTTTTTGAAGGCGGTGTCAAAACTGTGCATGGAAGAGTACCGAAAATCAGAAAGAGCGAGACTGACCGTATTCAGCTGAGTTTCTACACACGAAATACTTGTACGTGGCTGTGAGGCAGGACAAGCAATAGCACGCAATGCATGCTCATACTTCTTGTCAACCACCATCAATTCTATTTTCGCTGCATTGGCAGCAACCCTGTGCAATTATATAAGAGTCAGTTATTTCCATGAATAACTAAATAACATACAGTTGTCAAGACAAGAGCAAGCCCACCATTTTTTCAGAAGCAAGGCGCGCTCCCCAGTTGGGTCAAGCACCATGTGGCTGTCGAACCGCGTAGAAAGGGTTAAGCCTGCAAACACGAAATATATGTGTACAAAACATTTTTGAGAAAATATGGCTCAAATGCACACATGCAGGATTCAACCTTGGAAAAGGTTGATAGCCACTTTGCTAATGAGGACAAGGGGGCATTCCCCTCCACTCAGCCGCTTTTCAATTTCACTCCCGTGTCGAACAACAAAATCTCCCCACATTGTGAGCGGCAATGGTGTACAGCTGTGAAAAACACTGGGTGATATGATTCCTGCTGGCTTAGAATTAGGACAGGAACAAAGATATAAGGAAAAGTTGCAAAGCATACTCTTCATCAACAACAACCACGTCCCAAGCGACCTTCTGCCCATCATCCGTGACTATGAAGGCACGAGGTAGTTTCGCAACAATTGCAGCAAGAATACCTACAAATACAGGAAAGCAAGTTAATCCCCATCAATGGCAACAACGCCTGACATGATCACCAAAGATATGTGCAGGAGAAAGGCATCACACTGCTTACTTATTTTTTCATCAGTCAAGTAACAAGTGTAAAGCTCCCAGAACTGTTTAGTGTCTGCCTCGGCCTGTTCTCGGGCATCAATTCCTTCTTCCGCGTCAACATCCTGGATCATAGTCCGTCTTGTGAAAGACCAAACATACTTATAAGACTCATCAACACAATAGCGGAGTTCCGTTAGGGGCTTCACATAAGCATTTGAGATGAGATATGTAGAGTATAATGTGAGCCGCTTATCTATCCCTTCAATGTCGCCCTGGAATGCAGTTGCTTTCACCTTTGTCCCCTATTCAAAAGAGAGATGTAAATGCATAATAAAGGATGTGGACACAGATGGTAAATAATAATTCAGTATGTTTCAAGGGGTAACTCACGGCAGAGTCCATCAGGACTATTGGCATAAACTTGCATGGAGAATTTTTTGCTGAGCGGACATTCTGTTTCTCAATGACAGTAAGGCGGCATGTCCACCTTTGGGTTTCTGGCTTCACATCCAAAAGCAACATTTCAGCTGCCATACCAGCAACACTCTGCAAATGACAAGGGAAACGGAATGGGTAAAAACCAAATCAATACAAGGACAGATTGAACTCAAAAATAACAAACATAACACAAGCATCAGGTGACCTCTAGTTAATGAAAGGCACAATTTCAGCAAAAACAATATTGCTTGTGCTATTCGTAACCACTGGCCCCTGTTCATCTGGACAAATCACAATTTTTATGGAATCTGCATTTTTGGCCCTTGACATTGCAACGTAGAGCTGTCCATGAGAAAAGACTGGTTCTTTTAAATATATACCAACGAAATCCAGCGTCTGCCCCTGGGACTTATTTATTGTCATGGCAAAACAGACTTTGATAGGGAACTGTGTGCGCTTGAAAGGCATAGAACAGTGTTCATCTTTTGAGACTTCCAAAGGAATCTTAGGGATGAACACATGTTTTCCCTTGTGATCACCTGCGGCAATGAAGCAACTCAAGACATGATCTCCGAATGCATCGCATATTAGCCTGGTCCCGTTGCATAGGCCCTCACATGGATTCAGATTTCGCAATAACATCACAGGACAATTAGGTTTTAAAGTTAACCTGTGGGGGGGCAAACCAGCAGGGGATAAGGTGTGCAGGTAATCTTCACAGTGCATATATTTAGGCTCAATTGGGGTATCATAGCTAAGATATATGTGTTCTTCTCCAGGAAACTTAGCTATCAACGATGAATTGATGAAGTCTACAATGTCATTTTTTGTGGTGAGTATGGCACGTGACATCAAAGCGTAAGGGTCAGTTTCAAACAAGTGCAAGTCTGGGTAGACCGCTGAAAAAAGCAATTTCAGGGATGCGGTTTCATCAATCCAGGGTAAGATAAAGTTGGCGGGGATCTTTATCTTGTCACCCGCGACGAGGGTTTCAGTTCCATTGCCAACGCGCATCAAATAGTCACAAAAGGCAGGATCTTCATGTGCCCGCATGTTTTTTATCAAACGCAGGCGGTGGACATGAGGCCATATTATTATTGATTTTAACAGACACGCATCTACAAAATCTGTCCTTGTGCCAGAACGGACCACTGGTAAAGTTTGTCTAAAGTCACCCCCGAAGACCATAACCTTGCCCCCGAAAAGGGAATCTACGCCAAGGATGTCTCTTAATGTTGTATCAAGACTTTCAACAATCCTGCGATTTGCCATTGATGCTTCATCCCACAAGATTAGGCGTGCAGCTCTAAGGAGCTTGGCCTCTGCTGATTGTTTGCCAATGTTGCATATATATTTTGACTCACCATCAAGAGGCAATTTAAACCGTGAATGTGCAGTACGCCCACCGGGCAAGATGGATGCAGCGATGCCCGAACTTGCAGTTGCAAGCGCTATCCATTTGTTCATCCGTGTGGCGGCCAACAAGGACCGGTACAAGAAACTCTTACCAGTACCACCTGGGCCATCAACAAAGAAAACAGTCCCACGGCAAGAATGGACTGCTTCCATTATAGTGTCAAATGCGTGTTTTTGCTGAGTGTTTAAGAAAGATATACTGTCCAGGTCCGCCTCACTTACCTGTATACCACGTTCGGCAAGTATTTCACGGGCGGTTCCATCGTCCTCAGCAGTATCCAAGTCTGAGTCAACCAAACAAAATGAGTTGATATCTTTCCCCATTGCAGCAAATAAGTCACGCAACAACGACAGTACTGTCTTTTCTGCCACTGCGCATGATTGGGACCTCGCTATGTCTTCACACAAATGGGGTTTGTAATCAGCCCAAAGGCCGCGAGGATTGGGGACTGCTGAAAAACAGAGGTGTGTAGCAAACAGTTTGCGCAGACTGGAAGGCAACTGGAATAATACCGCCTCATCAAGTGACGCGCGAACGACAAAGTCCCCTGCCAGCAGCCCACGCTGCTCAGCTGCAGATCTGAATGTGGGAGCCACATGGCCATTAATACTCTTAAGATCTGAAAATGATTTTGGTGCTCGCACATTTGAGAGCAGGAGGCGGAGGTAATAGCGATCCCCTTCGAAAGGATTGACAGAAACAAGTCTGCCAAGGACTTCCTTCTTCTTACGTTGGGTCCATTCTTTTTTTTGCACATTCCAAACAAAATAATGTGGGAATTCAACATACAAGAGTTTTAAAGTTTTTGCAACTTGATTGGATGCATTCATGGCGAAAAACTGGGTCAACATAGTTTTATTTGAGTTAGCTGCCTCAGTTACGTAAGTGATCCGCTGGTCTCCGTAAAAGGTAAGATACTGCGAATTTTCCAAGTGAACCTGCAACTGTAAAACAGCAGGCTTCATCTCGGAAATAGAAAAGCCGAAGATGCGCCACGCAGCCTCGGGGGGCGAAACCCAACGCCCTTTTTGGAAATTAGATATTTCATCCACGATTTCACCCCTGCCTACCCCAGACAGGGACATACTGACTCTATCATGCCCTTTATACACATATTTATATATGTATTTAACTGATTTGACACTTGCACAGACTTCCACATTTATGTGGCAATCGAATTTTCTCAACAGTTGCGCATTATAGGGGACAACCCACTGGTTATCAAGAGTATGCTTGTTCACCTGCACAGTCACACCTGAAGCTCGTCTCCTATAAGCAGGAAAACAGTTGTCATCAAAGCTCGTTGTGGCAGCAATGGCACGGGGATACTTGCTCCTGCATGAAGCTTTTAGCGAGCCACGCGGCAGGACCATGCACGGACATTTCAGGTTCATGTGACCACACGGACCATGGATCATATGTTTCTTAACCAGACGATACAATTCAGGATCTTTTTCAGAATCTGGTATTTCAGCACTGATGAGCTGATCACAGCGAGCACTGGTAGTGATCTTGCACGGGTGTGCCAGGATAAGAAGGAAATGAGCATGGGGGAGGCCCCTCTTTTGGAACTCAATGACGTAGGTGTACGCAACCACCTTGCCAAATAGAGACCCCTTGATTATGTCTTTTTTGAAATCTTCCAGCCGGGCGCGGAATATGCGGGCAACGAGCTCTGGTCGATTCTGGACTTCGTCCGCGAAGGATAACCGCTCTTTGATCTCAGGCCAATTAGGATTGCATGTGATGGTTATGAACAAGTCAGGTTTACCAAAATTCTGCACAAGGGCCATCGCGTCCATGTAACGTCCACGCATGTCGCGTGGGCCACCTATGAACGACCCAGGTAGGATCACACGACGACCAACTTCGCTAGTATTTTGCACACCTGCGCTAACGCTGTCCACTAATCCCTGGTATGTGTCAGAACGGAATTCACACTGCTTACTACGATAATAATCCAGACGCTGGGTTTCTATTTTTATGTAAAGGTCTACAATATACTGCTGAAACAACCGACCTGTATGCAGGATGAACGAAGTGTTTTGGTGACGCATTTGGAGCTTATATGCGTAATATTCTCTACACGAGACAGATTGCCTCTTCCTCCCCTCGCTCCTCAGGTTCTCTTCACCCGCAATTAAAGCAGCATCCGTCTCAAATTGGCTGCAGCTTATAGAGACAGAGGGCAGAGATTGCAGAACACCCGCGGGTCTGCCTGCAGCAGCCTTTGGAATCCCTTCATGCCAGCCCACTTCACCAAGAGGAAACAACAAAGGATACTGCAACGGGTCATAACATCCATAGTAATAATGAATGTTCTGAGACCTGCCACTGTGAGCATACACACGAATATTTCTGTTAGAAGCCAAGCCGTCGTACTCATCCTCAACCCACACAGCGGCAACCTGGGATGATGTTGGGCGATTGTAAATTCGCTGATCAAGAGAAGGATTTCCGTTCAACACGATGGAAAATTCATCAGACTGATCTACATCAGCCAATGTCTTGAAAAATTGTGAATATGGGTTCCCTGAAAGCACATCCATCAACACCGTTACAACTTCTTTATCCAGATGGGCAGTACCCTCCAACCTGTTTTTGACAGCATATTCTGTGTCATAGAAGTACAACTGCAAGTTTCGGGGGGGACAACCATCAGGAAGTAAGTTGTTGATGAAGTGGTATATCTGACCCTGGACTCTGAATGTATATATTCCCTGGTTCCGACGACAGAGCTGCTTGTCGTAATTATAGATCCCTATCGATGTGAATGCGAAGGTGTTGTTGTATGTCCGCACGCAGGCCTGAAAGTGCTTGGACAAAGGATCGCGCGCAGTGAATAATTGGCGCAATTGAGAGGGCATTTCAGTAGAGGCGAGAACAACCTCACCTCGACTGCAACACATGGTAGGATGTTCATACTGAACACGTTCAGCGCCGCAGAACAAACAGTCAGGCACAGGTTTCAGTCTGTAAGGTTCACGCTCGGAAATTGGTGCAGAAGTGCCTTCCCCTGCAGGGTCCAAGTGGGCACGACTGCCTGCCACCCGCCAAGTTCAAACCACAGAACGAAACAAAGCCAGGCAAGCGCAAAGAACATTTAGGGCAGCCAAGGAATTATGCAGCCCAGTACGCATGACAAAACCGTGCAAAACATGCACCCCAGCAGTGGGCGCCAGCATATGTCATGTGATCATACGCAACACAACATGCCACAGACACCAGCACACAGCCAATTGAGTGTTCAGGGATTTGAGGGGACAAGAAACATTCGTTACAATTCACGGTCATTAATTCAAGGTTGACATATATTATGAATACAAATCGCGCAGGAGCAACGACGTAAGGGAAGCAAGCAAAGTTATAAAAGGTGGCGTAACGATGTAGGTGAAGCAAGTAAAGTTATAAGAGGTGTAGCAACGATGCAAGGGAAGCAAGCAAAGTTATAAAAGGTGGAGTGACGATGCAAGGGAAGTAAGTTTAGTTATAAAGGCGGGTAACAAGTTTTGGTTTGTTTTTGAAACCACAGAAAAGGAAGAAACGTCAGAGATCTTTACAGATTCAGTTCGAGTGCAATACACGAAAGCTGACGGTATCCAACAAAACACAAACCTGGAAGAACAGAATCACAACCGGCACCATGAACTGGAAGTGATGATTCCATGTTCCGCGCGGCCACCTTCATGGCCTGCCTGACTGAGCGTCGACGCTTATTACGACGGTCTCGCTGCTCATCCGGGGACACAATGCTGCCAAACCCACGTCGGTTGGGCATTGACGAATGTGCTACTCACCCATGACAAAACAAATAACCTCTAAGGATCACTACTATAAAACAATAATGGGAACACCCACCTTAACAATAGTCAATCAAACTGCCACACACAGACATAAATTCAAGAGCGATGGCAGCGCATAAACAAACCAGATCACATATACCACAGAGATTCAAAGCACGAACAAAACTACTAGTAAATGGAAAACCGAACAAAACACACAGAGTAAACAAAAGCACTGCACAACAGAGCAACCATACAATCAAACACAGCCGACAACACATAAATAAACAACTCCAGAGCAGAACAATTAAACCCTTACAAGAATCACAAAGCAGGAGTTGTAATTGCAGAATGAACCTCCTAGACACCTGGGAACATATCAAAGAAATCGCAAGTCAACATTCTTATCAAGAAGAACAACACACCCCCACAACACACGACAGAACAACACCCTGCCTGCACAGAATAAAACAACCACAACTTTTCATTTACACTAAACATGCAACAAGACACCAAACAATGCACTTTGGCATGACATTCCACCACCCAATAACAGCACCATGAACAAGAAGTGCCACAACAGGAATTCAAACTGAACAAAAGGAACATAAAACTCCATAACGACTGACAGACCACATCCGCGCAGGTAAACCCTCCACCACACACAGGCAACTCTCACACAAAGTCCCACCATCACACACCACATGCTCTAACCCGCACCACATACTCTAACCCAGCACCAAACAGCGTAACAGGGGGAAAAAGCTTCAGCAAAGCCACCAGGAACAAATAAATAACGACTCTCCATCAGAGCCGTGTAATGGCTCACTTCAAAGTACACAAAAAAGCCCACACAACCCCCGAACGTTCATGGCCAAAGAGAACACAAAGGGAAGTAAAGAAGGTAACTCACAAGCGCAGAGAGAACCGAAAGGAAGGGAGATAACTCACAATTCTGAGTAAAATTGAGCGTAGAGAGCTGGAGCAGGAAGAAGGAGTGAGAGAGCTTCGCGTGAGGATAACCAAGCTGACGAGGGCGAGATTATATCGCTGGGTAAAGCTCCTCCGCAGATTCAAAAAGCAGGAAACAGTGCCAAACCTCCCCTGTCCACAAAAGCGAGTGAAGCCGCGGGCATGAAACGGAAAAAAAACTGTTAACTTCCCTTGGCAAAACCGATCTTCCGTCCAATACTATTTTAACGGAACAGACCCAACTAACCATCATTGGCTCTTTATATATATAGTAAGATATTCGACTGGATTCATAGTTTAAATGAGTAGGCGCATCTAGGAACAGTTACGAAATGATTCTCTAGATGCAACAAGCTGTGGTTTACGTGAATGAAATGTGCATTTTGTTTGGGTCAGATAATCCTTGTAATTCTGGTTAGCATATGGGAGCATGAACAATATGTTGTTATTCTGAGTAGTATGTTGTGTATGGTCTGCTGTAGGATTTTCACTCTTCCTAGCTCTGATGATCGATAGGCTGCACCATTACATTAGAGAGCTTAGGATGAGAAGGAAGGACATGGAAGTAGTGAAAAAGAAATGCCGGGCATTCGAGGAGGAGAAGAGCCGAGATTCTTCGGACGAGATAGTAAGATCTTTGGAGGAGCAGGCAAGGTCATTGCAGGGAAGAATCAAGCAACTGGAATCAGAACTGGATAACAATCGAAAAGAAGCAAGCAACTCTGAAGCCAACTCGATCGCTTTAAAGAAGCAAACAGATGGGCTAGTTCTCGAGTATGATCGATTACTTGGAGAGAATCAGCATCTGAGAAGGCAGTTACAGTCACTGGATAGGGAGCTCTCACATTCTGATAGAAAGAAGGTTTCCTGAGGAGAAACAGACTGTCATTCTTGGTATACACTATTTTTCACCACCCAGGATTTTTACTAGGTTTGTGTTGGTGCGTTATCAAAGGCGTTATGTTATTTCACATTCCTTATCACTGCTTTGTTATTATATAGTTGTTCTAATGAACTACCAGTGTTCCTCAGTTTGATCTTCAGTACTGTTCCCTAGTTTGATCTTCAACTGTATTTTGTATTCACCTTGGTCATAATGGTGTCACCAAAATTTGTTAGACTAGGCCATGAAGGACTAATTTGAGTGTCAGATTGTGTCTAGATTAAGTGAATGAATAAATACTGGCTTCTTATGTAAAACTAAATATTGAATAGGACAATATTGAG